GATGCTGGGCACAGTGGCGTCCACGCATAAAGTGCAGAGCTTAGCAAATGCAATGTAAGTCCATTTATAAGGACAACCGATTACATCTCTAGATATTCTAAGCTAAATTCAACTATTTTTATATATTTCATTCACATTTGCGCAAGAAAATGTTTTTTTTTAAGTCAAATAAAAACATTAAAACAATGTTTTCTATTTATAAATTGTATAATTTATATTTAAATATATAGCAACTTGCGTCTTGTGCGTCTTGTATTTATATATTTTAAATAATTAAAATACAAAGCGCCTAATAAATTAAGTAAATTACTTTTGGCTGCTTGTCAAGAAAACATTCGCCTGATTAATGGGCCGAGATAAAAGAGTCTGTGACACCTCCTCAGAAATGACTCAATTCTCTAATTCCAATCAGATTAGCTGAAGCAGTCTAGTTGACTAATAGTACGTGTACTGGGACTAGGCAACTTCTGAGGTAAGCTACTGTAGACACACATACGAATACATGTGCATAGCTAGAAATGTATTTTTGCCACTCTCTCTCTCTCTCTCTATAAACAAGAAGCGCAACAACAATAACAACAGTCGAGACAACTCAAAGTAGTTTTGGGAATAACAAGAAGGCAAAAAAAAGCACAAATGAAATATGAAAAGTAAAATATGTGTTTGAACAAAAAATGAAGCCAAAGGAGAAGAAGCAGAGGGAGAAGAAAAGGAAAATAGCAGCAGATTGTCAGTTCATCGATGGACCCGAGGCTAAAAGCTGCTGCAGTCAGCGACAGTCCAAAGCAGCAGCAACAGATACATAGATACAAATGTATCTATAGAGCTATGAGTGCGTGCAGCTAGTGTGTGTGCAAGTGTGTGTGTGTGTGTGCGTGTGTAGCGCTGCTGTGGCCTCGTGGACTATTACAGAATATTTTTATTGCTGCGCCGCGCCAGCTCCGCACACAGCAAACGCTAGAAACTCGGTCTCAAATATTCTATTTTTGAGTTCACAAAAAATTCAAATTTATTTTGAAAACTTATTTTCTTGAGCGTAAATAGGAAAATGTCACTTAATTGTTTTGCCGTTCGCGGAATTTTTTATTGCAGTTTTTTTTTGGATTTTTTTGGGACTTTTTCAATTGCTAATTGCGCTTTAAATGCTAATTAGCTGCGTTGCCAAATTGCCAGAGTATGTTTGTTTGCTTTCACTCATTTGTATCATTCATTATTCTTTTTTTTTCCATTTTCTGTTTCAGTATCATTTTCATTTTCATTTTCATTTTCATTTTAATTAAATTTTGATTGCACGCACGCGCATTTTTGCTATCGTCGTCATATCAGATGCAATTTTTTGGCTTGTTGGCGACGTCACAATAACAATGCACAATGCACTCACGCACACACACACACACACACACTCACACACAGGTGTCACTATACACACACAGGTACGGGGCACACGGGCACACACACCTGCAATTTGTACGCTGTGCACTGTCAGCGACTACGACTGAGACTACAAATTCTGACAGCCTGTTGGTTGAGTTGACCACGTTCGCGATGCGAATTATAATTGTTACTCTCGCTGCTCGCCGTGCTGTTTTCACGGTTCGGTTTTTCATATACAACAACAGCGGCAACAACAACAACAAACATTCAACACTTAGCCACAAGTCGTTTCATCCAAAAAGTTTGCAAAGGCAGCGAAAAGTGGCGGCTGCTGTTGCTGTTGCTGCTTAGCTGTGGTTTTCATGGAAAATGGAAAATGTATGACACACACACACACACACACACACACATACATATACACTCCACCACACACGTAGCCAGTACCTATACCTATAGTTCGCCCACACACAGACTTATAAATGTTGTCTGTCTGCTTTGGCTAATCGCGTATTTTGATACAGCCTCCAACTAAAGAGCCTGCACAAGGCAATAAATATTAGTCACACGCACACACACACACACGGACAGTCTTCGCCAGCTAATTAACTACACTATAACGAACTGTTTATATACACACATAGGCACCTCTATATACCCACCTATCCCATACAGCCGTTGTACAAAAACATATTTGAAACTTTTCTTTTTTAAATATTCAATATTTATTTTTGGACTTTTGGAAAGCGATTTATATACACTGCACGCGTTCTAGGCCAAGTTGAATAGTCTGTGAAGCTTGCTGAATTTTATTCTCATTAAGTTTTCATTCTTTGGCAAGCTAATAAACAGCTTAGCAGCCAACAAAACTCACATTCAAGTGGGATTCTGATTGGCTTACAAACACTTTTCCCAATTGGAACGCATTAAACAGCTCTGTATGAGTGTGTATACGCCCTCGCCTCAGCCAGTGCCTCTGTTATGCATAGCTTCAGCTTGTTATTTATCCATGCCCTCGACTCTCCCACTTCTAGCCCAATTTTATGGGCTAATATTTTTGGAATTCTTGTATTTATGTAATTGTTGTTGTTCCGGTCAAATGAATGTATTTTTATTTTTTTGGGGGCTTATGGTACTTGAAGCGAGGCGGTCAAGCGCAGCAATTAGTGCATTCGCCGTGCCTGATATACCTGCTCGGCGCATACACCTGGCTGGCACTCAATGGCATGTCAGGTGATCAATCCCAGCAGCAGTGCAAAAAAAAAAGCCATTCGCAGAGCACCTGACAGCCAACTAAGCTGCTTGAAATTTCATTTTAGTATTTCACGCTAGAAAGCCAAAAAACACAGTGAAAAAAAATATATATATCTGTAGATATATATATATATATATATATATATATATATATATATACATATATATCTATATGCTTAATGTTTGTGAATGATTAATGGGACATTAGAATTGAAATTGTTTTGCTTATGTGGCCGAACCCGGGGCAGGTGCAACACCAGCCGAAAGACGAGCTGGCGCAGGGGCTGTTGCTGCTGCTGCTGCTGTTGCTGTTGCTGTTGCTGGGGCAAGGGCAGCCTCTCTACTCTGCCATAATGTACAAATATTTATATGCCTTTTTTTCTTTCTGCTTTCTGGCAGTCTTTTACCCGTTGCCGAACCCAGTCGCACTGCAAATGGATGCGGCCTTCTAGGCGCAGCTGCTGGCTGGCAGCTACCTGCTGGCAGCGCCGCAGCCAAACAGGTGAGTGTTTATAATATGCATGCCAAAGTGTACAAGCTGAAGTCTACACAAAATACAAGCCACAAGCACATGTGTGGCGCAGAGTAAGGTGTGCTATGTGCTTAATATCCATAATCATAGTTATTGTATTTGAATACCCTGCCAGTGTTACTGAAAGGGGTATGCTGAGAGCAGAGGCAGCAAGGGCAGAGCTTTAAGTGTGGCAGACAATGAAGCCACAAGTGGAGAGCAGCAAAGACCAATTTAGCTTCATTCAAATGGAATTAAATATATTCCCAGATTTATAATGAAAAGTGTCAAAGAAGGCAAGAAAAATCTGAAATTGAGAAATGTTAAAATATAACTACAAGGCATGAGCATCACCAAGAGAGGTAGCTTATATGATATAAGAGCATATATATGTGAATATACTGCTCTGCTTGGAGTAAATGAATTCATGAGAAGCGCCAAGAAAGGCAGCTTGATACAATGCTCCAATGGCATATCTAGGCATGCACACATACAATCACATACAACTACGTACACAGCTTGTACAGGCTTGTGGGCGTCACTTGAATTCATGAGAATCGCAAAGAAAGGCAAATATTAAACAATTCTTTCTTTTGTGTGTGCAGCGTAGCAGAACGTAAACTTTGGTCTGCTTTTGATGCATATGTGATACACACACACACACACACACACATACACACACACTTGTTTATATCATATTTTCAACATCGCTATTTACCCAAGTTGAATGTATATTATAAGAATTGGCTTGAGTCAAGGAGCGAAGGGCGAACACGTGTATGCGTATGTGCTTTGGGGGAAGCCGTAGAGAGTATTGCAGAAGGCATAAGCATAACCAAAACCAAAACCAAAACCAATTCAATCTCCAGCTGTTCGTTTGGGGAGAACTTTTGCCAAATTGGAGAAGCCACAAAAGCCGAAAACAGTTTGTCAACTGAGGCGCTGCGGTATGCGAATTGTCAAGGGGCTCCAATCTAAGATTGACTAAGAGTTGCTCAAATTTCTTAATAAACTTTAATGACTGCGGGTGTTGCAGTGTCAGCTGCAGTTGTTGCATGCCTCGCCGTTGTTGCTGTTCTTGCTGCAACTTTGATGAAACTGATAAACCGAAACGCCTGAAAGTATGCTATAAACCAGCACCACCCTGGTGGTTGGGTGGTTGGGTGGTTGGGTGGCTGCAGCAGTAAAAGCAGGTTGAACATTTTTCGCCAATATCAAATGCGAGCGTAGATTTTCACCAATAATTTACTTGGCCAGCACGTAGCGAGTGTCACGCATGCAGCGGCTGCTGGAGGTGGAGGCTGTGTGAGGCATGCAACAGACTTGGGTTACCAGCTCATGCATTACTCATGATGTGTATGTCAGCAGCCTGCTGCCCATTGACTGCGACCCCTGTCGCCACGCCTTCGAATTGTCTTTGCTGTCTGCCACACTTGCCACACTTGCCGCATGGCAACTGTTTTAATATGGACGCTGCGGTTTTGCAGTTTAATGGAGCTGCCCATAAAAGAGAGAGAGAGAGAGACAGAGAGGGAGAGCGAGTTCATTTTAACTGCCGACTTGTTTGCGCAAATTAACACATTTATTTATGCCACAAATTTGTTGCTTAAATATTTATCGAAAGTAAAGCCGAGTTAACATTAAAAATTTGCGTTTATTTCCATATACATTTAATAGATATATAATAATAATAGTAATATTATAGTAATAATAGACGAATTGTATCACACACACATATGATATGGCTCTCAGGCAGGCGCACACAAACACACACACACAGGCATACACATGCAGCACACACACACACACACACACATACACAGACAGCATTAGTTAAGAGTTTTGAATAGCGCGTTTATTTCGTTTCGTTTAGGAAGCGTGGCGCCTGCATCGAGCTTAAGTTTATTTTGTTTTTATTTTTGTTTTATTTTGGGTTTCCCATTTGAACTGGCTAAAGTCGTATATCCTTCATTGGTAAATTCGCTGGGTTGCTGTACGCAGCGCCAGTGCAAGGAGCAAGCAGCTGCAGCTCAACTGGCGCCACGAGGCGCCGCTCTGCAGCGGCAGCTGCTCCGACTCCAGGCACAGCCGAAACTCGTCGTAGTCCAGGCGCGTGATGGCGCAATAATGATTGAGCATGCACAGGCCCAGGCAAGCTGAGCCGGACTGATAACGCACGGCATTGGCACGATGATATCTGCAGAAGAAATGGAAGAGCATAAAGCAGAGCTGAGCACTTCGCACTTCGCACTTCGCACTTGCGGCTGATTACCTGCTGAACCAGGAGGCATCTCTGCCCGTGAAACGCTCGGCAAAGTTGTGCAACGCAATCGAAGAGATCTCGGCCAACGCATAGTAGTGCGTCAGGTTGTACTCGGGCAGCCAGAGCGGCTCGTGGGCGCGATTGGCCAGCGGCAAGTCGAGAAAGTATTGCGTATAGTCCAGCACCTGGCCGCTGCCCGTGTCGAACTTGTAGAGTCGCAGCGCTGGATTGTTGGAGCCGCCCAGACCCTCCTTGCGCGGCACCACCGACGGCGCTATCATCAGCCAGGAGATGGGCGTGCCTGCATAAGCAAAGATTACCACGATTGCCCCGTTGCTGCCGCAGCCCAGCGATTGCTTACCTTGCTCATCGTAGATCAGCCTGAAGGTGTCCGAGTGCAGATGCCCAAAGAACTGGCCCTGTATGACCGAGGCGTACTTGCGCACCAGCTCCAGGTAGCGTTGATTGTTGCGCTCCGTGAAGATCAACTGTCCATTATGCTGCGGCCCCATGTTGCGCTCGTCCACGCCCGGCGGCATGTGACCCACTATGTAGACCTGGGTGGCAGGAATAAGGGACATACATATAGGCTTTAGATCTCTAGCTAAATCAGATGTCTGGCACATCGATTCGGGTTGCTTTTCTGTCAGACGTTGCTACCTTCTGCTTACCGTCTCTTGCTTATCTCGCGACTTGGCCAACACCTCGTCCAGCCAGAGCCACTGCTGCTCAGCCTGCTGCTGGTCCTGCAGCTGATCCTGGGCAGACATCGTGCGACTGGAAGCCTTCGGCTCTACAACGTATTCCGCGGGCCAGCGCAGGCTGTGCGCTGGCTTCAACTCCGACTCGTAGTCGTAGCGCATGAAGTTCGTGTTGAGCGCAACGATGCGTAGACGGCTTCTGGTCTGCTCGATGGAGTAGTAGCCGCCCAGCTCGAAGGTGACGAGCGCATCGGTGGGCAGCCAGTGGCGCCAGAGCTCGCCCATTTGCTTGTACTTGTGCGGGCCGCTGCTGCCGTCCTCGTGCCCGAGCACTGGGAAGATGAACGGCGAGGAGAAGCTGCGTCCCAGCAGCTCTGTAATGTTGCGCAATGTCTCGAGCTGCTTCTGCTCGGAGAGCGCCTGGGCAGAGTGCGAGAGTGCATCGCCAGTCCACAGGACAAACTCGACGTTGTCGCCCTGCTTGGCCTTCATGGTCTTGACCGCCGACTCAACGAGGCTCCAGGGACTGTCGCAGTTGTAGTGGCCAAAGGGACCCGGGGCCTCCGTGGCCGTCTGCTGACGGACGGAGGAGGAGGAGGAGGCGGCGGTGTGCGACAGTTGCCAGCAGCTCTTGTATATGTCGCCCTGCGTGGAGTAAAATGTGTCCAGATGCAGGTCGCTGATGTGCCAGAAGTAGCCTGTAAAAGCAGAGTGGAGAGGATGAGAGGCTGAGAGGCTGAGTGGATTATAGGAGCAGCCCGTTGGGCAATTCCTGTGCGGGAAATGCCCGCCCGCCGGCTGGCTGTAAAAACCCTTGATTGACAACATTCTGCCAGATCAATCGACCTGGCCTGACCTGACGGCCCCGCGCCCAGCTACCTGGCCGAAGTCAAGAAGTCACTTGATAGCCAAAGCGAGCCTTTGAGGTGATCAGCGCGAGAGTTAGGAAATCAGTTAGCGTTGGCATGCGCACTGATCAATTTGTTAGCGAGAGCGTGAGTCGAGCTGAGAGTCGAGAGACAGGAACTAGGATACATAACCGCCCGGTTATAGAGCGAGAGCGAGTCCGGCGATTGGGATTTGTATGAGAGCAAGATGAGTTTGCGCTTCAATCTGGCGCTGCTGCTGATGTTCGCCCTGCTCACGCAGCTGGTCGACGGCAGGAAGAAGCTATGCGGCGACGCACTCAACGAGGCCCTTGACCTGATATGTGTTGGTGGATTTTCTCACAGAATCAAACGCGACTGTAAGTACCAAAGCAATTCAATCAATTCCTTCAGCTACTCAATGCCACCTTTAAAGTGGACCGAAGCCGCCTGGTGGCAATGAGGCAACAGCTGGACACCGACGAGCAGCCGCTGCCACTGGGCCAGCTGATCAATGGCGCTGGCGTGACACGCGTGCTGAGGCGCTTTCGACGCAGGATAACGCACAAATGCTGCATGAATGGCTGCACCTACGACGACATCCGGGAGTACTGCGCCTAGCCTAACGGAACGACGGGACCAAAGGACATGGAAATGGCGATGACGATGACGACGACGATGATGCTGCTGATGCTGATGATGGCGATATAACTGACGAAGCAAAACCAAAAATTTCATTCAACTACATTTAACCCCCACTAAAACAAAACAAAAAAATATATTTTTAATTAAATTCGCAATGTTTTATTGTAATATTTCATGGAAGCAATAAAGTTACTCGATAACAATAGCAACACACAAAAGGCATCTTCTGGCCCAAAGACTACCTCCAGCCCAACAGCGGACCGCACGCTGCGTGGCGGTAGATCCCGCCCCCCAGCGAGCCCAGCCCACAGAAATTTCCACGTCAATGGGAATGCTATGCCCTTGCATTCTCCGAACAATAATGAAAATTTTGAATTTTTAATTAGATGACGTTGTTATTTGAAAAGCACAACAAGTAGCAAATGGGGTTGCAACGACTGCTCGATGCTCTACACGCTGCCAGTTGGACGAAGTTCAATCGAACCATTTCAATGCGAAGGCAAATGTAGCGTTAACAGCCTGAGCTGCTGTCTTTAACATAACAGACTGACTTAACAGTCAAATGTTAAGGGCAGCTGTTAAGATTGTTATATGCTTAACAGCACTCTGTTAGGCATTTAAAGTGCGCAAAAAAGTTAAGCTATAAATTCGCAATTTGTTTGTACAATTTGTCAGTGGCCTTAGTTGTAGACAAACTTTAGTGCTCAGTGTTAGGGCATGGGTAAACAACATTATGCGGAATGTGCGTGGGGGCGTGGCAGGGGCAACACTTCACTTTGTTTTTCAACAATTTGCGATCTACGCGTAATTATTTTGCACGGCAAAACATAAACAAAGACGTCAGCTGATATGAGTGAAAGCAGCCCACATAAGGCCATGACGCATCCCACTCAGAGCAACTGACACTTGACCTAACGCCGGCTGACAGTGCGAGGCGGCTGGCTGCACTGGCTCCGCTCAACATATAAAACGCTGATGCGCCGCTAGCCAGGACACAGTTGCAGTCTGTTTATATGCGAGGCAGACACCATGAACTTCCAGTGCTCCAAAATGCAGTGCCTGCTCGGCGGCCTGATGCTGCTCGTCCTGCATGTCGAGACGATTACCTTGTGCGGCCCCGAGCTGGACGAATTTCTTCAGCAGATGTGCAAAAACGGCTTCAACAGCAAGATGAAGCGCGGCTATGGTAAGCAGTCGCTCTCTAATCGAGCTTTAATTCAGTTTGCTGCTCTGCAGTGGCCGTTGACAATGCGAACATGGACTCGGAGTTGGACAACTATGGCGTCTACCCACAGCTAAGCCTGGAGTCGCAGCCTCTGATGCGTGCCCTGCTGACCGAGAGCGCCCACCAATTGCAGATCCGACGACGTCGCTACGGCATCTACGACGAGTGCTGCAAGAAGTCCTGCAATTTCAACGAGCTCTTCACCTACTGCAAGTAATAGCGCCGACGACACTCGACAGAAGTAGGAAAAACCATGGCGATCTTGATATGGACAAGGCTCTGCACTCCACTGCAGCTTAGACTAAGACCAGCTCCAGTTTGTCAGCTTCTAAATGTATTCACTTAGCTATTAAACGAGCTTGAGCCCTATGCGAACATTGTTTCTAAATCTAGAGCATATACTCCCACAATTTATAGCCAAAGGACATTTTGCCAATTCAATAATATAAATTTATGCTTCACGAATGGAAAGCAGAGCTGTTTGTACTGTAGGCTAGAGTAAATCAAAATGTGCTGCGGAGGCCAGAAGTAGAATTAATTACCCATCAATTATTTCATCATAAATCTACATAAATTTAATACAATTTTATTCACTGAAGTCAGCAAATGAATCTTGAATTTTAGAAGAATTTTATGCCATTCCAGTCGAGCAGCCGAGCTCCAACTGCCTTGCTTTCAAACATTATATGTTTGATAGAATAATCAGCAAATATTATTCTATCAAACAGACTGAAAAAAATTAACAAAATATATTATTTAAAAAGAAACTAATTTTAAGCTGTCTTTTTAAGTAGAAATTTGTAATTTTTTAGCAATTTTATTGGCAAGGCAAAACTTCTTAAAGGATTTTTAACAGATGAAAATGAGCAACTTTTGGATGCAATATAATATCATATATATTTTAATATAATATAATATAATATATATGTATATATATATATATATATATATACAAAGCTTCCCTTTATTATGACCATCAAATTTATTAAAAATAAATTGAGAAAGAAACTTTGTGAAAATAGACAAACTCTAAGCAATGAGCAGGAGCAGGACAGCTGGCTGTAAGCAGGACAACAGCAAAGATTAATAAATATTTAAAAAAATTTCAAACTAATTTGCGAAGAACAAGATTCAGCCTTAGATATATTCAAACTATATTTGTTAAAAATAAATTAGCCTATGCAGCTATAGAGCCTCAAACAGAAGGTAAGAATATATCAAAAAATTCATTGGGGCAACAAGACTATCTACTTGACTCCACGCTCCAAGTATAGCAAATAAACAGAGAAATATTCTAAGCTCAGCATCAGTTTCAGCTAATCATAGAGCCTAGATAAAGCAGACCCAACGCTACCCTAGTTTAGTTAGTCTATGCTTAGTTAACTTAGTTAATTGAGCTTTGTTTATGCAATTGGCTTTTATTTTGAAGCGTCTATAATATAAATACAATATGTGGCTGGCACAAGGTAGGGTAGAATTTCAAGGTACTGTGATCGCGGAGCTTTTGTGGGTCGTGGCAATCTAGACGGCGCAGTAGGCTTTCAGCTCGCTGAGCTTGCAGGAGCGCCTGCAGCACTCGTCGACGATGCCCTCGCGGGTGCGACGCCGGGTGGAGGTCAGAGAGTTGAGCACGTTGTCCTGGTAGATGTTGCGCAGTCGGCTATTGGTCATGGGATACGAGAGCAGCTCGGCGGAGCTCGAGGGCAATTCCTTCTCCTCGGTGAACTGAATGGGATCGAGTGGGTCCAGGTCCATGTAAGCTGCGGCGCCATCGAATTGGGAACAATTAGTGCCAGCACACGGATACCCTGTACTCTGATACTCACGCATGTTGCGCTTCTGGATGATGCGATTGAAGCCCCTGACGCACATCCTGCTGAGCATGTCGTTCAGTCGCACGCTGCACAGACGCATCTCGTTGTCGGAGCTAACTGCCGCCAGGGTGCACAGCACACAGAGGAGGGCCAGAGACAGCGAGGAAATTGACTTGCACATTGTACTGGGATTAGGCTATGCTACGGAACTGATGCTGCCACACTCGCAGTCACACGCTTATATACCATATAGCTCAGCACCTGTTACCTGTGCTCTGCGAGCCAGCCAGGTGTGGGCGCTGCCCAACTACATCGATGTCAAATTGTGTTAAAGGTTATTGGGACAAGTTGAGTGCATTTTCGAGTAGCTACTTGCTAAATTCGTTCAATGTCAGCGTTCACTTTTCGTTGGCTTATGCAAATGGCGCCCCATAACGAGGCGGGGCGGCGTGGGTGGCGCCGTGGAGTGGGCGGCGCTTACGTCTTTGTCAGCCAATTAAACAATTTGGGTGTAAAAGGACGACATAAGGTTCTGGCGTATGCGAACTAAGGCCTTGCCATGCCTTGCCTTGCCTGCATTTATGAATATTAAATGAGTTGTTTTAGTCGGAATACCCTGTGGAACACAGCAATTACAAGCGGGCATATGCAGTTGCCAAATGCTCTGGATATAGGGAGTTATGTGAGCGTTGCTTGGCTGCTTCTAACTAGCCATGTAGTAAAAATTTGTCACGCCCATAACACTTCATTGCTATTAACCTCTGGCGCCATTGCCATTGCCCAAGAAACGAGTCTCAGTCTTACGCAACATTCAAGCCACCCATAATCACAAAATTTAATGATGGCTCCTCCTGGGAAACATTTCAAACAGCAAAACAAATGAATAGCAAAAAATTTACTTTCAGTTAAAGCAGATTTCCCCTTTGTATTGAATCCTGTATGCGTCTGTGTGTTTGCCCAAGCAACCAGCGCTATATCCTGGGTATATCCTGGAACGATTGCTAACACTGGCCATGCAAGTTCATAGCACACTTTTTGAGTGTTGCAAAACGTTGTACATAAATTAAATGAACAGTAGAAAATTGCTGTCTGAATGAGGCCGAAGGTAGCAGCGAGTTGAGAGCGCTTAAAGTCTAAGATTTTTAAATAGATTTTTTTATTTTTAGGAAAAAAGTGGCAATTCGAGAAATTCAATTGTTAAAAGCTTCTCTCTATGGATATATCTACGATATAGCCTCTAAATTGATAAGCTTAAGCTTGCTTGATTTACTGCATAAAGACTTCAGCCTCTAGACTCAAATATTTTACTGCATATTTCTTTAAAATATATAATAAAATATAATAAAAATAAAAAAAATAAAAAATATTATATATCCAAAATTGGCCTTAAATATATAATATTATTTTTAGTTATTTTTTATAATTATTAATTTAGAAAAACAATGCAAATTTCATGGAATAACTTTATTTTCGAATCAAGATTCTTAGAGCACACTTCGTATATGGACAGAACTTATGATTCCTGGAATATCAATTGACTTTCATGGCAATAGCTAAGTGAGATGAGCAGACGCACGCTTCCACTTGAGCAGACATTGACGTATCGACTCAGTCAGCTGAGGGTAAACATGTTTTCAGCTACCCTCCACTTGTATCTAGAGTTGAGCAGAGATTGGCGAGAGGCTTACCTTTAAATGCATAACTCATTTATCAAGCACATTAAAGGACTTCAAACAAAGTCTTTCTTTGTATAGCCAGCCTAGACTGACTCATAGAGAAGCCTGCTTAACTATTTTCTGCCCACACTTAAAACTAAATATAGGGTATTTGCATAGTCGAGCAGTTGTCTGCTGCGTGCTTGCTCTAGCCTTACTTACCGATGCGGGCGTTGGCCTCATCTGGCAGCCAGAGCAGTGGCAGGAGCGTGGTTAGCAACCAGCTCAAGCTGAAGCCGAAGCTGAATATGAAGTTAGTCATTTAGCTGCTGTTGTGTGCGTGTGTGTGTGTGTGTGTGTGGGCGATGACAGGAGCGAGGGCGGACGGCAGGCGTCTCGGGCAGGTAATGGAGCAGGAAGTGGAAGTGGAAGTGGAAGTGGAACTGGAAGTGGAAGTGTTTGCTGTGTAGAAATGGAAATTTCTTGCTAACTTTTGCTTTAGCTTTCTGCTGAGCCGTGAAACTTTTCTGCACAGTTTTACTTTTATTCATTAGCTAAATTTCGTGCTGCATAAATAAGTGATTACGATTGCGATTACGATTATGATTACGATAACGAATACGAGTACGATTATGATTACGATTGGCATTACGTATCTGTGTGTGTGACTATATGTGTGTGTGTGAGTGTGCGTCTGTCTGCGTCTGTCCCTTACTAGCGACAGTAGGCCATCAGCTCCGAGCGGGTGCAGGAGTTGCGACAGCATTCGTCATAGATGCCGCCGCCTTGGCGCCGCAGACGTCGCGTCTTGATCAGCACCTCGGTGCCATAGAGGCTGGAGAGGAAGGGACTCAGCGCAAAGCCCTGATGCGACTGCTCCAGCGAGGGCGACTCGAGATCTGGCTCCAGCGGCGAGTCGCCGGCCACAAAACGCTTCTTCGGTATCGTATTGTAGCCGTTGACGCAGACCACGTCCATGGCCTCGTTCAGCGCTGGGCCGCACAGCTTGTGCTTGCCGCCGCGCAGCAGCTGCGCCATGTTGCTGGCGCCGCAGCAGCTGCTGCCCAAGGCGATCAGCAGCAGCAGCCAGCACAGACGCTGGCATTGGCGTTGGCGTTGGCCTGTGGCAGTTGCATGAAATGCGTACAACATTATTGCGGACGGCTGTTTGTGAGCGTTTGCCTAAATGCTGCCAGCAGCAAACGCTATTTATACAGGCCGCATGCAACAGCAGCTGCCGCAGCAGCAGCAGCAGCAGCAGCAGCAGCAGCAGCAGGTTCAATGCACTTTTTGGTTGCACAAATATTTGGCAAAGCAGCAAGGAGTGTGGGTGGCAGAGGCATGCAGACAACAACAACAACAACAACTCACAGCAAGCACAGCGAGCGAGGGGTGAGCGAGAAGTTAACGTTAAAAGGCTGTGACTGCTGTCCCCAAGGATTACGCCGGCTGCCAATGTGGCACGCAACAGCCCATGTGGCAGCTTCATTAGCATTAGCCGCAGTGTGCGTGTGTGAGTTGCTTTAGCCAGGTGAAAAGTATGCTTCAGTTGGCTGCTCGCGATTGCCAATCGATAGTTGGCATTGTGCCGCTCGATTGTGGCAGCAGTCGCACGCTGCTGGCAACAGTTGGTCGCCAACACAGTCGCAGAGCAGTCCGAGTTCCCAACGCGTTATCCAAGAGCCGAGCAGAGTTCAACCAGAGTCCACAATATGGTGATCGATATCAAAATGTGTCGCTTTGATAATGTGCCGTGGGGCTTTCGGCTGGTGGGCGGGGCCGACTACGACTACCCACTGACAGTGGTTAAGGTTAGGCGCGTTCATAACGATAATCATTGTGATGATAATCATCAGCGAGCTGCCTGCTGGCCACCTGACCACAACAAAGACCAACAGCTTCAGCTGCTGCTGCGCATTACAATTGCTGTTGCATTAACTTTTGCAGTGCAAATGTGCCGCAAATTAATTGCAAATATTTCAATGTTCGAGCCAATTATGTAACTTTGTATGCGTGTGCGTGTGTGTGTGTGTGTGTGTGTGTGTGAGTGTGTGTGTTTATTTATTTGCATTTGCATTTGCATTTGCATGCGCTCGTTCGAGGGCTTATTTGCAAAATTTTGTTAATTAAAGTAATCTCTGTGCAGAGCCAATGGCTGCGTCCGTCTGTCCCTTCGTCCGTCCGTCACTTCATCCGTCTGTTTGCCTAATCGGCTGGCAGGACTGCATTTTTCTGCTAATGAGCCGCATAATGCGAATGCAATAAATTAAATTCAAATTCAAATTCAAATTCATCAGCAACAGACGACGAATTAGTGAATGTGTTGAAAGACAACAGCAGCAACAGCAGCAACAGCAACAGCAACAACAACAGCAACAGCAACAACAACAACAACAACAATGGCCATAGCCATAGCAATATTCGCTTAATTGCAAAAATAGCAACAAATTCAAATTTTTTTAATTTGCCAAACTGCAATAGACGCGTATATATAGACTGCTGCCTAGCGAGGGTTGTCTGAGCAGTTAAGCCAAACTGCTCAAATATTTTGCGTTTACTTTTCTATTTTGCAAATTTCTTTTGTTTCAAAAGTTTTTATGCTAAATTCCTGCAATTTACTGCTTTTATTTTATATGTCTAAAGCAAGTTAAAATCTGGTCTTTAAACCAAAGATTTTGCTGACTTGAATTTTTGTTTAATTAAATTTGCTTATAAATAAAATAAATAAAATAAAAATAATTAATTAAAAATAATAAATAATAAATTAAATAAATTGATAAATAATAATATAAATTACTATACTAAAACTAGACTAAACTATATTATGCTATACTTTTTATGCTCTTCTATAATATATAAATATATAAAATATTTCTAGTAAACTAAAGTTTCTGCAGCACTTGATGTGAAACTGAAACTATTTAAGCTCTTTTCCTTTGAACATTTTTAGATATTCTAACGTTCACATCAGCCTCAATATATTTGTTACCACATCTGCAGTTCCTACTTCTACCCTTTCTATAACTTCCTTCTCAAATCTTCACCGATTAATAATATAATTATCATATTCTTAAGCAGCTTAAAAATGCTTTCGAAAAATATCTTAAATATTATTTTCGTTTACTAAATCCTGTTTTAAACTTTAGGCCAAACGCTTACTAAAACTTAAGCTGTTTATCTTGCCAATAAAACTTCAATAGCTGAGCTCATGTTAAGGCCAAACATTTGGCTTAGCTCAAACTACATTTTCCAACAAGCAAACGAAGAGGCTTTGCCTTAAACTGCATTTCTGAAGCTAAATGCTTTAGCTCTACACTTTTTCTTAAGTAGTACAAATAAAGATATATATAAATACATATATATATATATATATATGTATATATATTTATTTATGCCACATCTTCATTGCCTTCATCTGCTACTCACACTAAAAACTCTTCAATTTCATATTCTACTCAGTTTTTACTGCCATAAAACTTGCGTTTTCCAACACTGAAATAAGAAAAGCTGCCATAAAGAATTTGATGCTGTTTTTTTTCTGTTCTGTTGCTGGAAGATTGTCAGACTTAAGAAACTTTTGGCCACATTAAGTGGATATGAAAAAAGTTGTCTCAATTTATAAGGCAACCCTCCAAGCGGCATGCCACATCGAGTGGCGCATTGTCTTGGCAGCTGCCACGCCCCTACGTATCGTTTCGTCCGATCTGTGTTTTTGTTGACATTTTGCGCGCATTTTATTTATATGCACTTTGCGAGCGACGCCAGATAATTGATTTCTATCTAAAATACGCTCGCTCTCTCTCTCTCTCCCCCTCTCCCTCTCCCTCTCCCTCTCTCTCTTTGACAGGTCGCAGAGGGCAGCATTGCCGAGGAGGCTGGCCTGTGCGTGGAGGATGTGATTGTGCGTATCAATGACACGGCTGCCACGCCCCTCACGCATGATGAGGCGCATCGCCTAATCATGAGCAGCGGCAGCGTCTTTTATTTTGGCGTACAACGGTAAGTAAGGCCATTTGTCCCGTTACAGCCATTTGTCATAGGCATCGACCGACCTTTGCCCGACAGCGAGCACGAGGAGGAGCAGATCTATGCGGGTCCCAAGCGCTTCCCATGTGCCAGCGCCAGCGCCAGTGCGAGTTCGTTGACCAAGTCGCCGACGCCAACCGCATCCGCATCCGCATCCGCGTGCACCTCGCCTTTGCCGTCGCTAACGGAAGCCACAAAAGCGCTCATACCGGAACAGGAACAGGAACAGGAACGGGTCGAGGTTGCGCAACTGGAGGCGAGAGTGGAGCTGGAATGTCGCAGCGCTGTCACGGAAATGCATTCGCATGCCAGCGACCAGGCCAGCAACGGTGGCCTCTATTTGCCCGATTTGCCCGATCGCCCGTGCTCGGCGCTGTCAGAGCAGACGGAAATTAAGCTGGTGGAGGAGGAAATTGCCGCTGTGCTGTCTGGGGAATCGGAGGTGCTCAAGGAGCACAATGTGCTGGGGTGCGTTGACAGACGGCCAGATGGATGCGCGCCTTAACCTGTTTCAATCTCATAGCGTCAATTTCTACAGAATCTTTCCCAAGCCGGGCGTCTGCATGACCAGCGACGTGCTGCGCTCCCTCAACGAGGAGGTGACCAAGACCAAGCTGGAGAAGGAAAAGGAGAATCGCAAATGGTCGACCTTCCTGCAGAGGCCCGATCGACCCGTGCCCAAGAGCAAGCAGCAGCTGGAGGCGGAGCGCCGCGCCGCCAATGCCTACAAGGTGAGGATAGTGAAGTCGGCGCCACGCGACAAATCGCCCATGGTGAGTAGCGTTCCATGCAAAGCACATAAAAAAGAGACACTGAACAGGCAGCAACTTAAGCCTGTGACAGCCGGAAGCCAAGCCGGAGCCAAAGGAAGCGACCCCACCACAAGCAGAGCCAGAGCCGAAGCAGGAGCAGGAGCAGGAGCAGGAGCCGGAGCCGGAGCCGGTTGACCCGGTGGACGAGGAGCCATTGCCCACGGACAGCGAAGTGCCAAATTTGGAGCAATTGCCAGACAACGGCAACAGCGCGACGCCCGAGGAGACGGATGGCGAGCAGTTAGAGAAGGCGGATGCCTCCAAGGAGCAGTCCGAACAGCAAACAGCAGACGAACAACAAACAGCCACTGAGCCCAACGAAGAGCTGGCCCAGCAGCCCGTGGGCGAGGCAGAGGCCGCGCCAACAGCAGCCAAAACCGAGGAGGAGCTGGCACTGGAAAAGCAACTGGCCGATGTGCAAAAACAGCTCGCAGCGCTCTCCTCGCTGCCATCCACCATACAATCGACCCTGGATGCGGTGACCAAGCAGCTGGCCGAGCTGCTGCCCACATTCAAGCTTCAGCAGCAGCAGCAGGAGCAGCAGCAGCAGGAGGAGCAGCCAAATGGCCAGCATCAAGGTACTGGCTCGAAAGTTATGGCCGAGGTTACAGTAATTAAATTTTTCTAATGGCACATTTTGCATACTTCCCCAACTACGCACGCACACAGACGTGTCCAGCTCGGCGGCTGAGGGGCAGCAGCTGCAGCCCGGGGAGCCAAAGGAGCCGGAAGAGACGGCACCTGAAAATAATGAGGATAAATGCGATGCCAATGACCGAGAAGTGGCAGAAATTTCGCTCTCGAATGGCGACAATCGCCAGCTGGAGGAGCAACAGCAGCAGCAGCAGCAGCAGCCGCAGCAGCAGCTCAACGAGGAGCTCAGCTTCAAGAAGCAAAAGGTGAGCAACAAAGTGAAAGCACAGCTATAGAGTATACGCAGGGTATATGCACTATATAGTATATATATACATATATATATATCTGACTCTGTCTGTCTGTCTGTCTGGCAAGTTGCTAATGGCTCTAATTCGCCTGCTGCCATTGCGTAAAGCTGCAAACTATGCGCACAACTTTTGATTATAAATAGACTGAGCTGAATTATACGCCCGGGACTTGAGCCCGGTTCGATATACTTGAATAACTCAATCTTGGGTTTGGAAATTTCAAAGTTTTAGGCAAATTTTTAGTGCAAGTTTCTTAACAATTGTCGTCAGAGCTGAGACTTTGGCCTTGAGTCAATCTTCTGCTCGCCTCTCCACTCCACCTCTCTCTCTCTGCTTGTCAACTTGCTGCTGGCCAGCTGTGCCTCATCTCGGCCTAGTCAGTTTTTTCTCGCTGCCCATTTGCCGCCGCCCAACTCCACAAATCAAATTAACTAAAATGCCTTTTGGTTTTTGTCTTTTTCTACTTGCAGCATAATGTGCGCTTCCAAGTGTAGTTAGCTTAGTTAGCTTAAATCGAGTTTAAATTTTGATAAATTGCCACCACACATACATATATGTATATATATATATATATATATATATGTATATACACACATCAACTGCCAGTTAAATAAATGAGTTCCAAAAACAAATCGAATCAGAGTCTGAGTCGCAGAGCCGGGGCAGAAAAAGGCAGAAACCAAAGACAATTAGTAGGCAGCGTGACAGCCAGAAAAAAGAAAGCAAAGAAAATGAAAAGCCAAGAAGAAAAACCAGCGCATATAACCCGAACCGACTGCAAATTTGCACTAGCTCTCTCCCTCACTCTCTCCCACTCTATAAATGAAAATCTCTTAACATCTTCTCTGTATTCCTTTGGGCTTTGTGTGTGTGTGGGGCTTGTTTTTTGGGCTGCGCTGTGACATGCCAGAAACACAATGTCATTGAGGAGCTGGAGGAGCATTTGGTGCGCAAAAACAATCCCAGACGTTCGAAGCGCGCCTTTGGTCCCCTAACGCCATCATCGGAGCGTCCTTTGGTGCTGCCCGGCGGCAGGCGCTGGTATCGACCCAAGGATGCCTACAATGATGAATTCATTGCCGAAACGCTCAGCGCCCAAGCGGAGCTTATCACTGGCAGCACATTGGGGTGGGTACTCCAGCGAGAAGTCCCTCTACTTGTACCCAGTGCTGTTCGCATTCCCACTCTCTCACGCTCACGCTCACTCTCACTCTCACTCTCCGATCATCCATCTGCATTGCACTACACAATGCTTAAAGCCATGCTGTGCCCTGGCTGGCATTGGCTTTGCCATATTGCCATGGCCACCGCAGTGGCTCAGCCCGCCCGCATCGTCCCAACTGTGGCTCATGTATAGACTCTCACTCTCATCTCTCGCATCTCTCACATCTCTCATCTCTCGTCTCTCATCTCGCATTTTCCATGGCACGCTTACATCAACGCACAATCGTCCGGCTTCATAATTTTGCGCATTAGCAGCTGCTGCCCCTACGAGAGCCCGTTGCTCGGCTACGATGCCAGGTATTATTTTGCTAAAGCATGAAGCTGGTGACAGCAAATCTGTTCCGCATCCCGCAACCCTCAGCCAGCACAAAAGGCTGCACTTTCATTAACATTATCATATTGAGTGACTGTCTGTCTGTCGACCTGCCTGTCGCCATGTCTCATTTTTGTGTGTGCCTGTCCTGGCCTGAAGTTGATTTGACTTTTCCAGCTCTGCATTCGACTGCAGCGTCTTTGGCACCTCTTGGGCGCTTTGTGCTCTGCTCTGTCTCTGGTCCTTATATGCATGCTTACGTTTGCTTTGTCTTGTCTCGTTTCTTTTGTAGATTGCTTTTTGGAATCGCCTGTTCAATGGCGAGCACATAACACGCCAGCGTTTCAGGTAAGTCTCAGCTGCAACTGCAGCTGCAACTTCGAATGCAACTTTCATTGTTAATAAGTCCAACAGCCTTTGCTTGCCTTCTGGTCCGCCCTTGTCTTGTACTTAACCACTGGGGGCAATGTATTCGCTTCAATTTGGGTAACGACTACGTTTACTACGTTTTGTATACACTGCACGGCAGGGCGAAGCGGGTATATTGGCTATCAATTGTCCGCACTTGTCCGTTGCCTAAAGAGGAGTTCATGTTCAGCTTACTCCAGAACCAAGATCAACTCAAATGCATAGCTGCCACGCCCCCTAACAGACAACCACTAAAGGTTGCCTTCAGTAAGTTGCGTGCAGCGTATGAGAGCAGTCGGCTACAGCCGTTTGCAGCGCTTGCTTTTACTCGTTTCTGGTTACGTTTTTCTCGTTCCTCGTTCTCGGTTCAATTCATCGGCCGCAGGGAGCTGCAGAGCCTCAGCGTGGCCAAGGCAGCACACAGGTTAGTTTGTCACATGGTTCATTGCATGGTCCCTGGCCACGGGCGACGCTCTCTGGCTCAAGAGCTTCAACGTGACCAGCAGCACTTATTAAAATGCACATGCATGTCTGCCATTCCCCCTGCCCCCTCGCCCGCTTCTTCTACTCTGTATGTTGTTTAAGCACTTTAGCTTTGATTTCGACTTTTCGTAGGGTCAACTTCATGAAGTACCAAAAGCCGGAGCGCAAAATCGACCTCAATCGCAGCGAGGTGTATAAAGTCATACATCATCTGGATCGTGCACCTGTCCGTGGCATTGAGGTGCGTGCACCACTCGTGGCAGCCGAATCGGATATACGCCAAGCCTTGCAGTCATAGATTTCATAGAGTTCCCACTAAGCAATTCTGTTCTGAACCAAAAGTTAATAATATTCTAAGCAGCTCGAGAAATATATAGAAAAACTATGAAAACCTTAAGAATTTGCTAGCAAAGTTAAGCATATGTCAATGTCTTTGTTGTTGTTGTTGTTGTTGTTGTTGCTAATGTGTTATTACATAATTTCTCTGTGTGTGTGTGTGTGTGCGTGTGTGCAACATGGCGTATGTGTAATATGCCAAGTGTCAAACGGCTGCGAATTGTTATGCATGTTGGCAGCCGCAGGGCGCTTGCTCTTGCAATTTTCTTTTGCATAAACACGCGACACCCACAGACGCTCTGTGTGTGTGTGCGAGTGTGTGTGTGTGCGACATGCCTTTGGAATTTGCATATGTTAAAGTAAATGAATTGGGCTGTAAACGAAATGAAACCAAATTGCAAAATGACAGCCAGCAGCACAATATAACAATAAACTCGTATTTATGTAGTTATGAGCACACACACACACCACACACACATGGCATATCAAGTTCAGATTCGAAATGGTCGTCACGTTATGCCGGGTCGAAGGTTGCGCACATTTCACTTGCCCTCGGTCACAAGCACGCATAAGGATGCGGATACTACGGTTATAATCGCGTTAACGCACACGGATACCAAGTTATTAGCCATTTGTTTTTGCTTTTTTTTGTTTTTTTTTTATTTTTTTTTTGCTTGCGTTAAAAGTCGTAAAAACGCGCCAAGTACGCGAAAGTTTTGATTGGAATACGCTGCGCTCGCACCTCACTCAGCACTGGGCGACGTGACTTTGATGGCGTCTCGTCCTGAACTGTCACTGTCACAATATGTTGGCATTTTGACTTCGCATTATCACTGAAGTTGGCGCTGGCCCAGTCCCCACACAACATGTTGGCATAGTCCTTTGAGTGGAGTTGAAATGCGTGCCGCTCGAGTCTTGGGACAGCTTTCCATCTTGGCCCAAGCGAGCTTTTCAACAGCAGCGAGCTTGAGTGGAAAGTTCGCTGAACGATGGCGAGCTTTGACGGTGTTTCGTGCTAGCAGGAATCAGTAGCACTCCAGCTACAAGTCAAGCATGTTGACAGGCTGAACTAAAATGATATTTGATATATATAAATTAGCGTTCAAAATAATCTTATTCTGAAGGAAATTGAGCTATATAAAATAAAATTCATCTTGAGCTTAAGCTTAACATTTTTCAAACGTCATTAAAATACTCCCTGCTAAAGCATTTAAATCTTATATAAAGGCAATTAATGACACATTCATAACTTCACTAACTCTCTCCCTTCCACTCACACACACTACAGACATTTAGTTGCCTGTAGTATGGAAAAATGTTAATAGACAAGATGGCGGGATCAATTGCATCGGGCCAATGACATTGATTGATAAGCTGAGCTAAGTGTCCAATTGACCAATGGCAGACGTGAATTAGCTCACTACATTTAACACACACTAAGCCAACAACACGACCAATGGCATTGCCCAACAGTCAAAGGTATATATTTAGCTCAAATTCATACATATAACGGGATCGCAAACAGCAACTCAAAAACAATGGAGGCTTCTGCTACGTTTCCAACAACAAAGCTAGCACATAAGGCATATGCTATTCGTCTCACTCTCCCGCCCGCTCTTTATATGTGCACATAGTATCTCTCTCTTTTCTGCAAATAACACAAATGACATTTGATATAATTTTATATTTTATTTTGAATTTGAATTAAACAAACTAGACAACAACTACTTAAGAGTAAGTATCGTACGAGTACAAGTACATGCAAGTTACATAAAAATAGGTTAAGTTCGTAGCGCCGTTGGCAGCGAACGGATATATGTATGTATATATATATATATATATATATATATATATATATATATATATATGTTTTAATTTAAATCGGATTACGACTAATAAGACAATAAGTATAGGTAATTCCAAAAAAAGGCAAAAACTTACAGCAGCTACGTCACAACGGGGCGTTCACTTTAGAAGTGTGCGCTAAGCGAAGTACGCAAATTTTCTTTTTCAATAAATTTCTATTCAATAAATGTAATATTTTAAAATTTTTTTTATTTAATTTTTTTTTATATTTTGTGTTGTTAAATCTGGTATTTTTGGGGATTTTGTTTGTGTGTGTTTGACACTAATTATCACTACGCCAGTAGAAGCTAAATAGTTTGATTTTGTTTCTAAGAATGCTTCTTCGTGTTCATTGCTCTTTCGATGAGACTAAACCGAGTTTATTATTGTAAATATTTAAATATATATATATAGATTGATATATATATATATATATATATATATATATATGTATATGTGGGTGTGTATGTATGTGTGTATATGCAAAATTATTTATTGCTAATAATACGCGAGAAACGAGCAAATAATCAACGAGAATAAACCGAATATATATACATATATATATATATATATATGTTATATATGTTTTCACTTTTCATTTGTGTGTGTATGCGTGAGGCAAAGTTTTCGTCTTTGTGTTTGTATTTCATTTTCATAAATAGTTATTTTTTTCGCTAAGCAAACATTTTGTCATAAGGCATAAATGCGGGCCCTAAGTGCACACCAGATGCTTGAACTTGAGTCTTTTCTTTGAATCGTTTATTCAGAGTCGCTCATCGGTCATCAGTTATCAGTTATCAATTATCAATTATCGGTTATCGACTATCATTTATCGGTAGTTCAGCTACGAATTGGTATTTGTATTTAGCCAACAGAGTTGCTCTACCATGTCGTGGTTCATGCTTTCTTTTTTAGGTACAACGTTTTTCCTTTGCTCTTGAGTTTTCAGCTCTGCCACTCACCTCGGCCAGGTGTGACCCTTACATTCTAATAGGTTTTCAGGTGTGTGTAAGTTTTTGTTTTGTGTTTCTTTCTTTCTTTTAGGCTACATCCTCCTCTCTAAATACTAATGCAGGTAGTTCGTTAACACGATCACCAGAAATTTCTTACAAACTTTTAGCGTTTGCATTTGTTGTTGTTGTTGTTCTTGTTGTTTTTGCCTTTGTTGGGACTCGGCTTGGCTTTAATACTTTGAATACTTATATAAAAAAAAGAACTAATTAAATTTGGCCTAAACCTGAGCTCGGACAGAGTCCGACTACAGTTGCACTTAAGTCACTAAGCTGGTATGGTCGTCTGCTCATAGAAGTCGGGCTCATCCTCGTCGGCCTTGACCTCGCTGCCATCCAACTATGGGAAAACAAAAGGAGGATTATCTCTTATCGTAAGTTAGCTCGACTTTAGACAATTTACCGCTTGCAATTCCTCTGGCTTGTAGATCGAGTTCAAGATCTGTCGTATGGGCACCATAAGTATGAGGAAGAAGGGGAAGGCTAGCGAGAACTTGGATGATTTGACCGTCCACAGAACAACCAGGCACAGCACCTGTATGGCCGTAAACAGATTCATCTTCCAGGGTCGCACACGCTTCACGTAGTTCGTGGGTGGATAATGCTTGACTGGCATGAAATAGAGTCTTATGCTAAGGTACGAAATTGAAGCTGTTTAGTAGAGTTTTCTAGTAAATTGGTAAACCGTTGCTAACCGTTCGAACAGCTGCACGCCACTCATGGATGCCACGCCCATGTAGAGAAAGACGCCGAAGAGCACGGCCATGGGTATGAGCCGCAGCAGCGGCGCCATCAGCACCGACAGTCCGATCATAACGCAGACAAAAAAGCCGGACAGGCGCTGTTCCTTGACGTCAATGATGCGCGGCGACTCGCCAGGTGCATGGGTGCTGCGAGGATAGAAAAATACATTAAAAACTTAGTTATGCTTCTAAGGATCAAGATCAAGCAGAGGTATACCCACCGAGACATCACTGTAACCGAGGACACGTGCGTCACGGATCGCACTGTGGCAGCACAATGCCAGGGCATGCCGAAGAGGCCGCAGAAGGTGTTCAGCAGGCAGAGCAGCACGATGTCCCAGTGCAGGCCGGAGCCCTTCTTGAGGCCACGGTCGGGCTTATCCACAATCAGCTCGGATATCTGTGATTCCATGAATATCAGAATGTAGACCAGCAGAGCTGGCACCACGCAGGCAAAGGGCACCCAAGTCTCGCATGGATTGAAACCAATAAACCAGCCGCGACGCGACGGATCGCTGGGCGACAGACCCTCGGGCACCACCAGCTTCTCGGTGTAAACGGAGGGCACCAAATAGTCAATCAGCACAAACATTGCGATGGAAATGGGCACACCAAAGTCGCCCAGAGCACGTCGCGCATTGCGGCCGAGGAAATGCGAATTCCGGAACAGCTTCAGATAGTAGGCGACCACAAAGGTCGCCAGTGTCAGAATGGTGCAGAAGAGCGCCGTGTTGGGCTGATTGGTGGGTATCTTGGGCAGCGCTGGCGGTGTCATTGTGGAGCTGGCATTCACCAGAGTCACGCTGATATTAAAGTTGGTGTCATTGTGGCCGATGTCGTGCCCCACGAGTGTCGGTGGCGGCAGATTGTAGTCGGACAGCAGCGGATTGAGCTTGTAAATGGACACGAGCTTCATCATAGTCTCCACAATGTAGATGAGCGTGATCAGCGCCGAGAAGATCTCCTGCGTGAAGCGTGTCAACAGCCGCACATAGACGCTGCCCTCAAAGGCGGACACGCACAGCGCTATGATGATCAGCCAGACGCCCACGTAAACTCTCACAGATAGAAAATCAAAGTTGTATTCGTTGCAGAAGACAATGAGCGCCTCATCGAAGAGCAACAGCGGTCCGGTGGTGCCAATGATGACCAGCGGCTGGCAGGACAGGCAATGAAAGACGATGCCCACGAGGGAGCAGGCAATCAGAGTCTCCGGTATGCCGATCCAGTTGTCCGTCTTCGCCGAGGCCAAGCCACCAAAGGTGATGGCCGTCGATAGGCAGGCGAAGTACATGAAGATGGTGGCCGCCAGTGTCTCCGTGTTGAGTCCATCTCGTATGTCGCTCTTGTACATGGGCATGCGACGCTTGAGGTCGTTGCGCAGGCCACCCCAGAGCCGATGCGTCTTGTCCATGGGACTGGGGCGCTTCTTTTTGCCGTCATCGTCGTCGTCGTCGCCGCCATCGCCGCCGGGACCACCCGGGCCGGTGATGGCACCCAGTGCCTGCTTCTCTAGCAGCGCCTTCTCCTCATCCCTGCCAATTTTGATCATCTCGCTGTCGCGCTTCACCTGCAACGCCTTGATCTTGCGCGTTCTTATCCAGTCTTTCTTGGCCTTCAGCTCGTCGAAGGGCAGCAGATCGTGACGATCCCAGTTGCCAGGCGGCAGCACAATGGAATCATCGAGGAACTCATTGATGGCCGACAGCAGATCACGACGATCGTCCGCCTTGTAGGCGATGGCATGGAAGTGCTCATTGGCCATCAGCGTCGAGATGGAGCGACCCACCTCATGGTAGTCCAGGTCAAAGTTGCGTGGTCCCAGCAGCACAAACATGAAGCGCACTGGCACAGGCACCTCTGTCAGCGTGGGCATCAGCACGCCCTCCGACAGACGCACAAAGGCAATTGTGGGCTGCTCCAAGAACTCCACGGCGCCCACCTGTTCATAGATGCGGGTAAAGCAAATCTTTTGCCAAATCTAACAAATTTGAGCTTACCAAGACTGTTGTAGCTTCAGCTCCAGCGGGTATACGCTTGAGGATGGTATCATTCTGCAGCTTTTTGAGATCCTCCTGCGAGGAGGAGTACATGTCATCCTTCATGTCTATCTTGAGCTCATTGCTGCGCTTGCTGCCGCCAATCTCGCTGGCTGGCATTATCTTGATCTTCTTGTCATCCGTGCTGCCCGAGAGGTTCTGTGTGGGCGAGCCAATTTACAGGGTATTAAAGTATTCCCAACAACTTGCGCTATGGATATTAACGTCTTAGAGATAACTGTACAACAAGCACAACATGCAGAACATCGAACAGGCGTGCACTTAAGGGTTAAGGGCTGAGTTAACGGTGCATTTTCAGACTAAGTTTTTCATAAGTTTTTCTTTTTCTTTTTCTATGTTTTTTTCTTTATCTTTTTTTTTTTGTTGAGGTTAAGGACGAGCTAACTTACGAGTAAATCGATAAATAAACACAACACAATTGAGAACTTGCCAATCGTGGAGTTGGAGAGCATTTAAAGTGGTATTAAGAGAGGGGAGTAGCTACGTGGTGGGTGTTGGCTAGGTGGGCTAAAAAAGAAACGGCTCGATTTCTAAAGCACTTCAACAGCACAGGGAATGAAACTGTTCACTATTTTGAATAGACTTTGTATACCCTTGCAGTAGGCCAACCTTGACAGCTCTCTTATATCTGCATCTATCAACAAGTCTGTGTCTGCCTTAACCAACTCGTCTAACAATTATTAACATTATTCCTTGAAAAGCTCTCTTATATCTGCATCTATCGAGAAGTCTATATCTGCCTTAGCCAACTAATCTAACTATTATTAGTATTATTCCTTGCAAGATCCCTTATAGTCTTACAAATATGTGTAAGCCACATGTACTCAAACGAACTCTAAATACTATTTCTGATATAGATACTTTCGGACATGCCTCCCATAAGACTAAAACATCAGCTCATCATAGTTATCAAAGGCAGCTCGCAAATCGAAGTTTCCTTTTGCTTTTTAAGATGCTCTCCTATTGAACAATTAAAATCTTGTCTATATTGAACACATTCAAGTTCTTAAGCTCGCTTCAAGGCAGGCAGCTCAAGCAGCAACAATTCTCTAACGATCTGCAAGAGCATTGCATCCTCGGCTTACCGACAGCATCGCTTTATACTTTTGCTGTATAGAAAACCAATTCAGTTTCAGTTTCATTCCCTGATCTTGAACATTTTGGGGGCATAGGCTTGCTTTGGCTTGGCTTTAATTGGCGTGTCAAATAGGGCTTTAAAACTTATTACACCCAGATACGATGAGGTCGTCGAGTGTCGTCGATGGTCTATGGCGCCCAGATTGAGCATGGCCGCTGGCGGCGCACTGGAGCTCACACAGATGCTGCGTCTCGTTTTGGCGGATCGTTGTAGGTATTGTTGTTGTAGTTGTTGTAGCTGTTGTTGTTGTTGTAGTTGTTGCTGCTGTTGTAGCTGCTGAGTGGCCTCGGCGCCCATCCAAAGTAGCTTTTGGTGTGGTGCGCAAATGTGAGACAAATGTGTGTTCAGTGTTCAAACATATACATATATATATACACGAATTCATACATATATATATATATTTAGGGTGATACATATATAGTTATATATGCAGATATATATATATATATATAGGCATATATGGGCAAAACAATAAGAGTCGCATAAAACGAAAGTAAAGAAGAGTCAAAAGAAACGCAGGACAAAAGCAGCTGGATAAGTACGTCTGTTAGCTATATATACCAGATATATACATATATATATATATATATATATATGTATATATGCCTATATACAGAAGTCGTTCATTACCGATTTGGGTAGTAGATGCTGTTGGTGTTGTTGTTGTAGTTGTTATTGGTATAGTTGTTGTAGTTGTTGTTGTTGGTGTACGAGTATGGTTGATGAGAATGTAGCACAGTTATGGGCGCAGTTATGCAGAAATAGACAAGAGCATAATATGAACACGATCAAAATGATTAACAAATTTTGGAGAACACATCATATTTAAAGCCAATTTATAGCGATAACAGGACACGCACTGAATGTATGCAAGTTGTTATATATGTAAGTGAGTTAAGTAGATCAAATGAGAGATCGATTGCGGATCTCTGTCTTACCTGCAGACTCGTATAGCTGTTGTATTTGCGCTTGGTGAAGGGCAGCACGCCCTGGTGCTCGTTCACGTGGCGATGGCGCAACAGCAACGAGCGCATGACCGATGGCTTGTCATTGATATTGATAAGATCATCGACCACCATCTGCATAGGAAAACTCGTGTTAAGTAAGGGAGGAGAGAGGGCGTAGGAGAGAAAAGAGAGAAAGAGAGAGAGAGAGAGAGCGCTCGAGCTTAGCTTACCTGTTCGACCACGCGATAGGCAACCGCAGGCAGGTCCTTCTCATTGAGGTCCAGCAGCACAACGCCCGTTTCCAGGCAGCGACGCAAATTGAGCAGCGAGTGGAATGAGAGAGAGGCAACATGCGGTTTGCCCCAGCGATCGGAGCCCTCCTCCACGTCCTCCTCATATTTGATCCAGCGCGCTGTCTCCTTCCACTCGCGATCCTCACCCACGCCCGTAAGCTCGTCCAGCTGCACAAAGATCTGGAAGGCAAATGCTGCTGCTGTCAGAATTGGTCTCTCTGGAGAGCGAGTGATCAGTTCGTACCTCATGTGGACTGTGATCGATCTCGGGCTTCTTGTTTAGAAACGGTGAAATAGTTATTTGCGGCAATTCGCGCAGCTTGATGGATGAATGGTGAATCTTGTGGCGTCGCAGGGCGCGCGGATCATCCGAACGATGTGATCTCAGCTCATTGAGATCAGCTTCCTAAAGGTCAAAACAAAACACTGACTTTAGTAACATATTCAAAACAGTTAACGGGGTTTAAGCATAAGGACTTTCAGCTAGGGGCTGTCATCAACCTGTGTAGCCGGCGCTTGGGCATTTGCCTACATTGAGTTGGATGTGAATCCGAGCATGGGAGGCAGCAAGAAAAGCAATTGTAACGAAACGTATTTGACTGGTTTAGTTTTCTTTTTTTTTTTGTTTTTTTTTTTTTGGTTAGGTTAACTAAAACCGTAGTCAAGATTAATCAAGAGTTGAGATTTCTCATCTCATCTTTTTGTTTAGGTCAACTAGCTAGAGTTACGGCTGGCCTACCTCCAATGCCGTGTCCTCAGGCTGCACAGAGATCCTACGCGCACCTGCATCACCGTTCTCCTCGATTGTCTTTTTGGGTTCCACGCTGTCCTGATGTGAGAATTTACGTTGTCTATAATACTGATGGCGGCTGTCAATGGAAATTAGATTAGATTAGATTGGATTCATAGATAGGAAAATCTGTCTGCTCAGACCTTTTTCTGCGTTTGCGTTCGTGCGATTGATCCGTGGGCTGTTCATCATAGCTCAGACTGGGCGGTGTGATGACAACTTTCTTTTTGGCATCACCGAACTGCACGTGCTTCTCATCGGCCGAATTATCCGAGTGATCGCCGTGTCCAGCTCGCTCGGAGACTAGTGGAAAGTCCTCGGGTATGTCATCATAGTTTTGTGCATTAGTCAATTGCTCCGTTTGGCTTTCGTATTCCGAATCTTCCTCGATGTTTAAATCATTTGTGCGTACTGCGTACAGAACGATTTGTATGACAGGGTACATTCTAGTCGGGTCAACTCCATATACTCACTGCTCTTTTTGCGCGAACCAATTGGCTGCTGACTATTGTCCTGGAAAGTGTTTACATCGAACTTCTCTTTGCGCGCACTTGAGCCGGCAAAGACCTTGTCCATTTCCGAGTCCAGCAGCACTTCGTCGGGATCTTCATTGCCGGACTGCAAAGAGTAGTAAAAGATTGTTGAATTGACGCATTGAGGTCTGTGTGGAATTACATTCTTTGCTCAATTGCTCGTTGTTTTGTCATCTTCTCTGGTCACGTTATGTGACTCAAGACAACAAAAACCTTTTCAATTAAAAATCTATAAAAATATTCAGTCATGTGACTGCCCATTATTGCTATTGTTGTTATTGTTGCTGTCGCATGACGTCGTCGTGTCATGTGTAAATATAATTCTGTAAACATTGACTCAACTCTCTTGCCTCTTGCCACAGACACGACGAAGTGCGCCAATTCATCATGAAACTTCTCTGGCCAACGATCATGCAGCAAAGTACTTCAATATATCTCTATCTGTACAGATGCAGATATATATCATATATCAGACAATCGTAGACTGGATCGTACCATCCTCACAGCTCGCTCTCTTCGTAAGTATATTTAATGGCGTTTATGTTAATTGTTTTTAATCGAAATCAATTGATTTTCATAGTGACGAACGCATTGATTGTGCCATTTCAAATTGACTGTCATATATGATATGTTGTTGTTGCTGCTCTGGTTGTGCTTGAATAGTCAAATATTTGCGCTATCTTGTTATAAACGTATCAATCAGCGTGGCAATAGCATTCAAGTCTAGCTGAAATCAGTGCGAAGGCTAAAGACATCAAACTGTTTGCGCGTAGCGAACTCTCTCATGGTTGGCATAAACGAGTTAATGAAATTATATATAGATATATATAGAAATATATAGAGCTTTATGGATCAATTTGCATGTCATATTTCCTGAGGAACAGGTAGTACAGTAGATTGCTTAGTTTTGCTAAGATATAGAGTAGAAAGTTCAGACAAGCGACTTTGCCAAAGAGATTTTGAAAATAGTTCGAATAGATTTTATTTGTGGATTGATTTTGCCCAAAATGATTCATTAATAATCTATGTAGCATATAATCGTGACGTTTTTAGACGGGTATAATATTTGATGATTAGGTGTGCTTAAGCCAATTGCAGGCAAGCCAAGTTCATCTCTTAACATCTATAATAATCTAAGCCTTTTGCCATTGCTATTAACATTTTGATGTAAAATGTGTCAATAGAAATCTATAGACATCTGTTCTTACAATGACATATTCCATAAATTTAATACATTATATAAACAGAGAGAGAGAGAGAGAGAGAGAGAGAGAGAGAGAGAGAGAGAGAGAGAGAGAACTGTCTATAGGCAACTCTAAACTCTCTCTGCCTCCTCATCTCTCAGCAACAGCAGCACTCTTAAAGTAAACAAAAGATAATTAACATAAGGCTGTTGTCTTTAATAAGCCACACGCTTTAATTGACATATCGACTTTTATTATAATTGAGCCCAATAATTCAGTTCCTTTGTTAGCCTTGCCGCATTGTTCGTGCCACACATCACACAATTTGCGCTTGACATATGTAAATTCATTCATCAAGAGTGTATATAAAGTTAAATTAGATTATGTGCGCCATTAGCTGGCAGCGGCTTTAAAGCTAATGCCTTCCACCTGCACAACGGCACAGGACACGACAGGACAGGACAGGGCAGGGCAGGACAGGTAGCTTTAATGGTGTTTGCCTTCGACATTGCCATAGGAGTAACAACATGAAATCCATCTTAGTCCTAAGCACACACACGTGTGAAATGAAAATGAGTTTGATATTAACTCTGACTCTCGCTCGCTCTGTCTTATTGTGCACCTGCCACAGCCACGCCCCTCTTTGCACAGGCGTGCAATATTTTATGCTAAATTTGCCGCATAACTTTATGATAACGCTCAAGGTAGATTTACCAATTGCGTCGCTGATAAGCCAGCGAAAGGGAAGACAATGGCCAAGCGAATGGCAAAAGGAAAACGAGAAAATGGAAAAACAAAACAACGAGCTTCAATTCAATTCAGTTAGTTTGCAAGTTTATAAATAGAAAATTTAATAACGTTGAGAGCATGCACGTGGGAATATCAAATGTGTGTCCTGTCTGTCTATCTAGCTCTCTGACTGGGTGTGTGTGTGTGTGGGCGTGTGTCTGTGTGTGTGTGATAAGTCAAAGCGTAACGCGCCCCGTTACGTTAATTAATCGATAACGGCGCGCGTAGACAGAGGAGCGAGGTGTATATGAAAATAATAATGATACAGATGACAATAATGATAACAACAATAATAGTAATCATAATAATTATGATGATCATCATCATGTCGACGATGATGATTGGTTTGTGATTAGCAAAGAGACAGAGCGACACAAAAAGTATTTTGTCATTTAGCCATTAGCCAAGGCCATCATTATGAGTTAACCACCAGCTACAACCTGAGCACAAGCCGCCACCACCCAACGCCCACCACCCATCGCCGATAGCATTAGAGCGAGAGCGAGCACACTTTAGCTAAACGAACTGTGCAACAATGTCAGCGTCGCTTATCAAAATAATCGATGGTGCTTTCTATTCTATTCCGTTCTCTTCTTTTTTTTTGTATTTTTTTGCCCACCTGCAACGCCCACAGCAAAACATAATAAAAAAGTAAAGCCCAAGCACCTCTACCTAGCTCACTCCCCACTCCTCTGCCACGCCCACCTAGCTGTCTGAGCTGTCAATTTTCGTTTGGCGCTGTTTGTTTTGCGTTTTGCTAAATTAATATGAAAATGCCGACGTTGTTTCAGGCGACAACGCAAGTTGTCTAAATAATAACAACAACAACAACAACAACAACAGGCATATTAAAAACTACAACAACAATCCATTTGCAGCAGCTCCAAGCGACGACAAACACTTAGCCTTCCATTTAAAACTAAATTTCCCTGTGGAAATTTCAGGTAAAAACCAAATGCAATCATATTTTGACAGTTCATCAACAATTTGTGTGAAGATCTCAGACTTCGAATAACAAAATATATTTTTACCCAAAAATATTATTATACAGTTTGCTACATGGTTTGTATTTAGTCTATAGGCTAGCAAATGAATCAGAATTTATAACGAGACATTTGAGTCAATCAGCGCACCAAAGGCTCGAGTTCCAAGCAACTAGATTCTGAGTTGTTAACTAAAGTATTTAGTTAAATAGGCATAAATGTTTATATTATTTAATTTACTTGCAGTATTAAATAAATCAAAGAAAATTCTTCTAAGAGCTGAGGCTGCACTTTGATTATGCAATGTCGTTCAATTCAACGGAACTAGTTCAGTTGAGCAGAACTTTTAAATTCCTGCTTAACTAACAACTTCAATTATCAATTGATTCATAAACTTTTGAGCTGACATCGAAAAAGTTGCGAACGAAAAATGTTTCAAATTGGATTTTGTATTATTTGTGTTGCCACTTAGGTGTGCAGCAAGGCGTAAATGCTCACAGATACAGTTCGAGATTGAGATACATTCGAATCAAACTCAAACTGAGGCACGAACCCGCATTTAGCTGCTCGTCTGCTTAAAAAGTTAGTCATGTGTGTCCCCCTGCCACTCCCTGTCTCTCTCCCTCTGTCTATTTGTGTGGCATGTTGGTTGTTGAATGTTTCTGATGCGGTTTGACAACATTTAACTGTTGGGGCGTTGGAGCGGGTAGAGCACGTGACTTATAAGTCATAAGCAAGTTATGCGGTCGTTGGGCTAAGCAACTTTTTGGCTGGCATGTTGCATGTTGTCAGCCAAATTGAATCAAATTGTGGCAAACAACTTGAACAGATTTGAGTGTTTGCTGCCGCTGCTGCCACAAGTTTATATAAGCAGCTGGGCCCAATAAGTTTTTCAAGTCAAGTTTTAGCCGTTCGTGCTTAACTTTTCATCACCTCTCCGCAATGAAAACGCCTTCGTCTCAAGTTTCGTGGCACTTTCCACGACATGTCCATGTCCACCTCCACGTCCATGTCAGCGGCACATTGCCATTTCCAGCCACTCAGTGCTGCCACTGCCACTACTGCGGCCACTTTGACTCGCGCCTGACATTCTCTGCCTCTGACACATGCCTCTTGCCACACAAGCTGCGTGCTCCAATGTTCCGCCCAAAATGGCCTATTCTCTCATAAAGGAGTCGAAAGAAAGTTAAAGTGAAACTGCAGGATGCTTGAATACCCTATTTTTTGTAGCTTGGGGAGTATTCGCTGGGAGTAATTAATTAATGTAATTTTAAGTAATTGCAGATATGAAAGATTGAGTAATTACAGAGTAATTATGATATAATTACAGAGTAATTATGATATAATTACAGAGTAATTAAGTTCTAATTACAAAAAAAAAAAAAAAATATGAACAAACTACAGAGTAATTACATTCGAGTAACAGTGTTATTTTAAGGTAATTAAAGAGTAATTACTTAATAATTTCCAAAGAATTGCACAGTAATTACAGAAAAATTTCAAAGCAATTGCAGAGAAATTTCAAAGAAATCACAGAATAATTACTGAGTAATAACTGTGGTAATTGCGGAGTAATTTCAAAGGAATTGCAGAGTAATTACAAAGGAATTGCAGAGTAATTGCAAAGGAATTACAGAGAATTTCCAAACGAATTTCATAGTAATAGCAAAGTGAGTTAAGTTAAGTAAAATACATGATAAAATAAACCTGCAAATTAATTTAAATTAATTAATTAAGTTTTACAGAGCCTTAAAGTCACTTTTACATAGTCACAGTCTATTTACAATGCATTAACAGAGTACTAACTATTTACATCGTATTTATAGTGTATTTACAGAATAAATAGAACTAGTATCAATTAGGCATTTTGTTTATTTTTAATTCGGATTAATAAAATACAATAATAGCTTACTCCTCAGCGCAATTGTAAATAAATTAGGGAGCAATTACATAGCAAACACCCATAAAATAAGGAATAAGCAGAGGAGTAATTGACTGTCAACAGAAATAACAACAATCCAAGTCAAAGAGCAATAGTCCAAGTGCCCAAAATTAATTATATGAATTATATGTGGCACGCGTTATAATCATACGAATTCATGTAGTCGTAAAGTTGAAAGGCTCACGGC